GTTGTTGTGCAAATAACTTGTCCCAGTAGTTTACAATTAATTCTTACTTGAACACTGGTCTTGCTGTCTTCTTTTAACCATAGACCCTTTGGTTGCTTCTGTAGTTAATGGACTCCTGATGGTCATGGGTTAAAAGGTTTGTAGTGCAGCCATAATAGATTGAACAAGAACACACAAGAGATTATGAAATTACCTCACCCTGTTAAAACCACCCCACAACTTCCCCCTTTAAGGTTTTGAATATTGCACTTAGATTAATGCTAAATTACCCATAAATTTGCTAATCAGACAACTTCTCAGGGGAATTATTTCTAATGCATTTTATTTAGCAATATCTGAAAGAAGAGTGTGAATGTGCATCTAACTTTTTTAATTTTGCAACCCCTTTTTTTTTATTATGCATTCAATCTCATTTAAACAAATGCAAAATTGTGATTTTAACATGGTGAAACATTAACAAACACATAGGTTTTCCTCTCAATTCTTTATGTAAAGACATGAACAAGGCTGGGGAGGATACATTGAAAACCTGCATCTGAAGTTTCTCTTCATCAAAGTGGACAGATGTGACTTAATGTGTCCTAAAGGTGCCCAACTGGGTACATAAACACTTGGTCAGACCGACCCGGCTATGCATGGCTTGCCTCTGCCCTATTTATTTTATAGCTTGCGTATATCACTTTATGGCACCCATCTATCTGGCAAACCTTGAAAAGGCTGTTGAGAAGCCAAATAAATCTAAGTGTGACGCTCTGACAGTCCCTGATCTGTCCATGTTGCCTGAAATCTCTCTCGGTGATCATAACTTTGCTCTCTCTCGCATCCTGACATGTTCCCCGCTGAAGCAGAGGCCTGAGAAGTGTGTGTAAGTGTGAGCGTGTATTCGAGGCATCAGATAGAGGACCTCTGCTCTAATGTCACCTGTCAAGATGGAGCTGAAAAAGAAACGTACATGCATGATAGCTACCGCTTATTTTAGGGGTTTGGGGCCGGGCGTGCATAGCAGCGTTCAGCGTGTTGCACTCCAGTTTGGCATAAATACATGTTTGTGTGTATAAAAGAGTATCTGAGTGTAATTAATGATGTGTTCCTCCTCTTCATAGAGTAATAGGATTTACCCACCCCAGGCGGTAGAGGAGGTGGATGTATGGAGAAAAGAGTGTGTCCCTGCTGCACAGGCAGTGAATGGGAGCTCCATGTAGTGATACCAATAGGCGTCTTGTGTGTGTGAGTGTGTGATAGGGGGTGGGGGGGAACAAGCGAGTGATTTATAACAGCTACTTCAGGTCTCTCCTCTCTCCCACAGCAGCACCACAAACACATCCATTACGAAAGCACTGATGTTAATGGGACGGTTGTGTGCATGCATGCTTGTACGCAGAGAGTGTGTTTGTGAGTTCGTGAAAGAGAGAGAGAGAGAGAGTGAGTGATAGTGATAACCAGATGCTTCTGGGTGAAAAAGAGGTGAAGGTTACCAGGGGTGCTGAAGGTTTACTGGAGCGCAAGTTTTCTGCTCACAGAAGCAGGATTGTTTTGGATCTTTTCTCAGAGAAGGCTAACTTCAAAGCATTTCAGTTTTTCATTTTTGTTCTGTTCCCGTGTGTGTGTTTGCCAGTGTGCCTGTGCTCCTTGCTCTGCTGGAGATACGCAGCCGAGGATGGAGTGATAAAACCCAGAATTGAGGAAAATACTCCAGAGAGTAAACAGTGGGAGCAAAGAAGAAATAAATAAAGAGGATGTAGAGCCTCTTGGTAATGGACTGCTGGATGCTGGGGAACACATCCAGCTTTTGTGTGGTTGTGTATGTGTGTGTGAGAATATATACGCTAAAACATTGCACGCCTGTCTCCTCTCACATTACCCTTTACATTAAAACCAGTCAGGAGGAAAATTACTGCAGACCTGGGCCACCGTCTGCCCACCTGGCCCCACAGAGAGAGGGCTGGACATGCAGCCAGAGGATGGGATAAAGAGGGGGATAAGGGGATAAGGGGGAGGTGGTGTGAGGAAAGAAGGGGAGGGAAGGGGGCGGTCAAGGGATCTGGAAAGGGACCAGATTGCCTGAGGTACTGGTCTGAAGTCAAGCTTGGATTTCCTGTGTGTGCCTCATGGCTGTGTGGGGACTCCATCACCGTTGTCACGGTTAAAGGGATGGGTCCCAGTTTTATTTTACACTCTGCTCTGAAGCATATGAAGTATTAGTAAAACCACCAGCATGGGTTGCTGAGACAAATTTCAGATTATTAATGCTAGCAAGTGAGCATCATTTTGCAGTGATGGCTGCTGGAAATTGAGCGATTTATTTATTTATTTTTTGAGCAGCTTAGAATCAGACCCGCTAGAAAATGATGGTGGTTTTTCATATAGGTCACATGGTTTTCCATCCAGGGCAGGAAACCCTGGATAACATCATAACAGGTCTATCTTCCTGTCTTGTTAATATAGTGTTTAATTTTCTTTTGTGCACACATGAACCAGCAGGGACCTTTTTAACTGTCGGAGCTCAGATTATCTTTTTAACCTCTAAAAAAAGTATTTTTTTTTCAGCCATGGATAATTATGGCTCAGTGGGTAAAGGTTGTCTTACAATCAGATGGTTGTAGGCCTCTATTCCAGGTTACCCTTGTCACCAGACACTTAACCCAGATTTGCCTCCCAGTCTGTGAATCAATGTTCAAATCTGGGTGAATAGGCTGTAGTGTAAAGCACTTTGAGAGATCGGTATGACTTCCTATTTTTCTTCTTGATGCAAGACTGAAAAAAAAAATATTTTAAATAGAATAATTTCCCTTTGAGCATAATGGAAACTAATCATCCTTTGGTTCTTTGCCATCCCTTAGCAGCCTTTCAGTGTTACCCTTACTCTGAGACTGTATATGCTTGATTTTCTTTTATTTCAATCAGTCAGTAGCAAGCAGATGTGAACTTAGACTTCATTTTTTTTCTTGTTTGTTTTGGTAATTTCTAGTATTGCTCTATGACCTTTTTATTTTCCTTTAATGTTATCTGTTTGTTTCACCATTTAATGAATATTTAACCAAAGAAAATATGGATATATATTATATTTTAAAGTATACCCAATAGCTTTAGCTTTAGGAAACGTTCAATATTCCTTGCAAAAAAATATATATATATATATATAAAGACACTTTTGCTTGAAATAGGTTTTTTTTTTCTCTTTTTATTGTGCAGATAATCAAGACAATTTGCCAACGGAATATAATGATTTCTGTAGGAAATTAGAAAAAAACAACTTCATTATCTCACTTCAAGTGCAGGATATCTAAATAAATTAAGGGCAAAAAAAAAATCCACATTCCATTAGCAGAACTTATTTACCTGCTCAAAATAAGTGAAAATAAACGTATTTTTAAAACATCTTAATTCATTTCAGATTGTTTTCTTGCAGTGTATTAGATAAGGAACGTATTGCGTTCATTTATTTTAGTGTTTGGTATCGAAAATATAACAAAGATTTTATTTGCTGGATGAAACTTCTAATCCAATTCTGCTGAGTTAAATTAAACGGGGTCTACAACAGTACATCTGAGAGGAGAACTGGGTTTAGTTTACAGCTTTTGCAAAAGGTTTCTTTTTTAATGTTTTTTTAACATTTGATGTAGTTTACTTGGAATGGAAGCAAGAGCCCAATGAACCTTCAAGGAAATGTGTCTATTTTAGGCCATTTGCCCTGCTTTTGTTTATCACAGTTGATTGGGATGAGTTAATTGAAACACTTTGCATAATAAGGGGTGCTTAGCTTTACAGAGATTTCATTACATTATACAAGCTTATCGTGTTTATTCTTAAGATCTTAATGGCCAAACTAAACATTAGATAGATTATACCCTCAGCAACCAAAATTATAGTCCAGCCAATTAGTGCAGATTTCATTGCTAAAACAAAGGAAACGACGAAAAAAACACAACAGACTTTTACGTTTTAAGAGAGGTTTTATTATCAGTGCTATTTACATAGAAATAATACAGCCTTGCCCCCCCCCTTTCACCCCCTCCCCCCTTTAAACCAACACACACTCACTCAAGCATCCACCACATGCACACTAACTCACATGTTTGTATCCGAGCATTTCTGGAGATAAGACACAATCTTTCTAGATCTTATACAATGTCCAAGGGAAAACACAAATGATCTGAAAACAATAGTACAGCTAATTCAGTGTGTGAGACGTCCTGTGTGTCTGAGGCGGCGCTGAGGGAGGAAAGGCTGAACTGAAATTGGGGATTTAGTAGAATTTGTCTTTTAAAAGAAAATACAGTAGCCCCAGATTGACATGTCTGAACCATTACAGGATAGGAAAAGGAAAAATAAATAAATATTAAAGCTCCCAAATCAGATCAGATGGAACTGAAGACCCTGTGTGCTTTGAAAAGGCGGCCACTAGATGGCAACCCGCACCTCGAAGGAGACAGCTGAAATGTCACAGATGTTGTCTGTCCCCTCTTTTGTTTTCTGCCTTTAGAGGAAGGAGACCTCAGCTGCTGAAGGACATTCTCCATTATGGGTTCAATGTTCTTTTGAAAATCATTTCCATTAAAACATGTTTTTTTAAAAGGGACAGTAACAAAAGGAAGGTCAGGTGAAGCAGTGAGCGGAGCAGAACTATCAGGGCCGCCTCGATGGGTGTGCAGTGTGTGTGTGTGTCTGTGTGTAGGAGAGCACAAGTGTCTATAATTGTGTTCGTGTTTTGAATAATAGTATAGACATCCTTCTTTCAAGCTATGATCAAGAACACTTTTTCTGCATTAAGGGACTCTAAGCCAGGATGTGTGAGGGGAAAGTCAGTGCGTGTCTGTCAAGCAGCAGCCGTTGATTTGATGTATTGTCTTACAAGGGAATAAAAATAATATAAATGTTGAAAATGGATTTGAACATACATTGCTTCGATGGCAACGGATGCATTTTTGTATGAATGCTGAGGTCTAAAATCAGTGGCAACATGGAGATAAAGTGAGAATTGAAATTGCTTTTGAGCAATGTTTTTTTTTAAATGCAGTGTGAAATTAGGAAAACTAGACATGTCCCCTTTGGTGTTTCTTACTAATGTGTTCCTAGAGCATTAGAAGATAAGGGGAAGGCGAGAAGCATTTCTGCTGGATGGAATCTCTTATTCAGTCCAGTGCCCAACGAGGGAAATGCTTTGTAGTGTCTACCATGCAGCGAAATTTCTTTCTCCTGCTTGTTATTTCATTCTTTCCATTAGTTCTGAGGTCGTTAAGATTAGCCTATAGTTTTTAGAAGGTTAACCTTAGAAATATCAGCAGTACTTTCCCCTTCTGACGTTGGTATGTCTCCTGAATTAGCTGGGCAGAGATTCAGCCCATTGTTGGTCCCTGGTTTTTGTTTTTGTCCTTTCACCAGGCGGCTGTTTCCCCCATCTCCTGGCCCTGGTGGGACATCGGAGCACTGTAGCTGGAGTTACTGGCCAAAGAGAAAGGGGGGCTGGGTCCACCCCCGTATGCGTCCCCCGGGACCGGTTGAAGGGAGCTCGGTAGGCCCGGTTCGGGGCTTGGGGTTTCCGCATGAGAAATCATGTCCGTGTACCTTTGGTCATCTGATGGGTGGTGGCCCGATCCCTCTATGGCTCCTGGCCCAGAAGTCAGGATGTAGGGGGACTCAGCCGGAGACTGAGCCTGTGAGGAGGGGGGGCCATGGGGAAAGAAGTCGTAGTTACTCCCTGGTCCGTAATAGTCGCCTTGGTATTCTGTTATGTGAAAAAGGAAAAAAAAAAGGGTTAATATATTATTTCAGACTTTAAACACATAAAACATTCAGAGCTTGCTTAATCGGCATTTGCAATTTTACACACAGCTCCACCCCTGCCTAAGTGGGGAAATTGATCATGTCCAATTTCCAACCAACCGGTCTCCAACAGCCTCATTTGAGTGTATAAACAACTCCACACCTCTCCACCTCACTTCTCTCGCCTCTTCCACAGTGCATTCATCTCCCCCTCTCATTCAGCTCGCAGCCATGCGTGCGCCTAGATGGATTCCCTCGCTGAAACTTCAGGGTCTAGATTAGAAATTCCAAAATGAGATTCCAGTCTCCCCGGCAGAAGGGCCAGGTCCCTTCGCCTGCATCTCTCTGTCATGTCTGATAGAGCTTTGGGCACCGTCCCTTGGCTCTGCTTCACTAAGCTTTGCTTATTTCCAGAACTCTACTCTATTTTCAGCTCACAGTTAAGCTACCAACGACTTCCCTTTATCAGTTAATCTAAATTTAATTTTCTAATTACATTGCCTCTGTCTTTTCATTGCTTTTGTCTAATCAGTTCACTAAAGTTGGGCAAAAATGTTGTCCATATGTTAGCACCTGATTAGTAACTGTGTTGACCATCTGTGCAGTCTTGACGGGGGTAAGAACCTATTAGTTTGGATTTGTTGAACTGAAGTCGTCGTCAGTGATATCGCCCCTACCAAACCATGGGACGTCAAAGTGAGTTTAAGGGAAAAGTGAAAATAAACTCTTGTTGTTGTCAAGGCTAACAACTAGTCAGATGTTCCCCATTTAGCTGATCTGAGTTGTTTACAAGAGTTGAATACGATGTAATTTCAGTAGATATGATCCATTTAAACTTCCAAAAGACGTGGGGTTTTAATTTGTTTTTATTCCTATTTGAATATCGTCCATGTTATGACACAAAGCTACTTTGATTGAGGTTGCCAGCTTTATCAGTCTGCCTGACAACCAGATAATCGGTCCCCTCAAATCATTTCAAGACACCTGGAAAAACACAACTCTACCATCTTTGAAATGATTGGCTCTTTACAATGCTTTTTTGGGGGGAGTTAGAGAAAGCAGATAATAAGGCACATTGATACAGCTGACGGATTCAACCAAAGTAGATCTTTAACAGATCTTCTTCTGACTAGTAATTATTGTCTATGTTACGTGTTTCTGTGCTCTCTTATGTGGATGATGTTAATGTATCAAGAATAAACAGTAAACAAAATAAACAGTTGAGTTTTTCACATATGTTTTCACAAAAGTGTAAGCAGAGAGCATCGACAAGTCATAAATCAGAAGATTGTTTACATCTGAAAGATTTTTTGCTATTCTTTTTGGTTACAAATAGCGAGAGAGAGCAATACTTGAAGCAGATAACAGTAAGGCTGAACAGAATTATAGAATCTTATGGAGTTTAGATTATTGGAAAGCTTTTGAAATAATCTCAGAATATAGGTGAGCAACTATGTTTTCTAGTAAGTATATATAAAGAATTCTGCTTTGGTATTGTTAGCCATGCAAATTTTTAGCATTGCAGAAGTTAGCTCCATTTTTTGTCTTTTCAGAATCAGAATCAGGCATACTTTATTACGGTAATCCCAGAGGGAAATTACAGTTTCAGTACAACCGTTTGTCAGGAGGGGGAGGGGACGGATTAACTGAGGCCAAGCTGCTGGGTTCCCACCGGTTACCTGGCTGCCCAGGTCTAGGCGGTTACCTAGCAATGCCATTTTTGAGCTTATACGCCATTTTAAAGAAACATAAAATGACATCCATTTTTTTTTCTACTTTAATAGACCGTATATTATCTACTACTACTTATTACCTTCCTTGAAGTTGCAATCCAGCACAGACATTTTTTTAAGTGTTTAACTGACTAGCTGTAAGACTTTCTTTCGATAACCTAAAAAAAATCAGAACTTTTTCTCTGACCTGTATTATTGTTACAGCACTCTTGTTTTTGCAATATCCCAGCAACACAAACAGAGCATCTCAGTGGATATTACTGCTAATATGCAGGAACATTTTGTGGGAATCCAATAATAAACAATCGTCTGCATGCAAAAGGGAAAACCAGCAGTTTTCGACTTCCTGTCAGCTTCACAGATTTAGATTCACTGGGAAGTTTATCATCTATTAAATTATGAGGGTAAACAACGCCTCTCTCGGCATCTTTCCACACCGCGCCTCCGTCAGCTTTGATTAATGACTTTTTTCTCTGTCCTGTTAAAATTTGTCAGCCTTCAGCTTCATCTTTTACCTGCTGATTGGAACTTGAGAGAAAGTGACACCTTATTTCCAGAATCCACTCATTTGTGAGTGGATTTCACTTTTGGATTAGCATGTTTTGTGTCTAACCTGTGACAGTAACTGGCGTGTTTATGCTCCTGAGAGGTTTTAGCTTTTGTTTTAATTCAGCTGCAACGTTTTAATGACATTCATTTGTATTACTGTTTAAACAGCTATGATATATTTTTTTCTGATAGCCAGAGAAGTACAGCTAATACTATTAGACATAACACACATCTTGTGATGACTTGTCTTTATAATCTAAGCTCTCTTTACATGGAGAGTCATAGGTTATTTGCTGGATATTTGGTAGCTGTGTAGAAGCAGGGGATCTGTTTTTATAAAGGCATTATGCTGTAGCTGAATTGTAATGTTTAATTAGAGTTTATATTAAAATGTAATTAGTTCCATAACTGATCACAAAGAGAGTTTAAATAAAAAGCAACAAGAACCACAAAGTATAGCTGATAAATTTTTTTTATCTCTGTTTCCCACTTGTGCTTGAGCGAAACGTAAAAAAACAAAACCAGAGCTATACGACTCCAATATATAACTGATATCCTAGAGTTTCCCGGAAACCCATCTCAAATTCACAACTGTTGAAGCAGCACCATTGCTCATAAGGAAAGGACAGAGTCAGTCAAACAGTCCATTTCAGAACCACAGATATCTTAATCTTGTTAAGCAAGAAAACGGAAATATTCCACTACTCCTTTTCTTTAAAACAGATCTCACTCCAAAGTTTCTACTTTGCAATACAAAAAAACTTTAATTATTTTGTCATGCAGCACTGTATCATTAAGGAAAAAGCTAAAAAATATTATGATGAATCAACATTGCATGATAAATTGGAAAATTCAATTGAACTGTTCAAGATTTTGCAAAGAACTTGTCATTTCTAATTTTCAGGTTAGCCAAAAATACATTGAAAAGATCAATGGAAGTTGAATAATGCCAATTCCAGTGATTGATAAACTTACAATTTGAATATAATTAAAATATATTATTCCCAGACCGTAGTTCAGACCTTAAAGATCCAGAGAAGTTGCCTAAAACCCCTATTGCAGTTAAATAGGAATTTTTCATTTGTTTAAAATGTGTTGATCAATGTGTTCTCTCTCCTCAGAAGGAGTAGGAAGTAAACCAAGAGCTAAAACAGGGAACGGTGCGCTCTAAAACCCCCCTAGAAAAGCTGAATTTTAAGGCCTCCTCTCTATTACACCAAAATAGGTTTCCTATTCACTCATGTCACCTTCTCACAAGAATAAGATACAGAGCCAGCCATTTATGTTTTTAGTTAGTCATTTAGAACAACTCCACATTAATTAGAAGTGTATTTTTCTCCCAAAATATTTAATAAATCATTAAAAATTGCATGATCTCTAAATATTCTGGCTTTTAAACCTTTTTTCTCAATATTTTCACCTGAAAAGAGTAAAATTCCTCTCAATTCAGATTGTTGTTTTTATCAGGTCATTATAAAACTCTAGAAAAAACAAAACATTAACGTCAAATTCTTTCCTCATTGATTCATTATGGGAGGAATACAAAGAAAACAATGCAATATATACATAAGATTAAAAGGAAAACCAAAGAATTACATCTTTTTATTAGTTAAAAACCCTAAAGGCCTTTGTTGTGGCTCAAAGGAATGAAATCTAAATCTATTTACATGCAAGCTAGCATTAGCACTGCATGCTAACGTTAGCACTGTAGCATCTTTGGTCACTGCAGGAAATTAGAGAAATTAAACTTCAAACTAGCTATTTCTCTACAATTAGGGTAGATACATATTTTTTTCTTATCTTTTAACCTTTTTGTCAGAGGCAACTATTGGCCAGTTGCTAAACATAGTTGAGGGAATTAGTTTTATCGTCGCTGAGGACGTTGCATTAATATTAGCTATTCCTAGCCAACATGGAGAGAGTTAGGCTAATAATTTGACTGCACACAAATTATTAACAACAAACTTTGCAAATTAACAAGTTTATGAAAACTGTAATCTTAACTACTTATAAGGGACGTCCTTATATACAATTTTATGAATTTCTCACTTCAGTTTAGGGCAGCCACTAAAGATTAGCCTAATTTTCAGTTCATCTATTTATTATCTTTTTGTTAATATTGAGGTACGCATTTTATGGAGTTCTGGATAGAGCATATTGCTGGACAAAGTTTTTTTTTTTAATCATGAATTTAAAATATCTGTTCGTTTTTACAATGTATGTAAAATCAAACGTCTCTGTTTTGCTCGTATAGCTAATGACATATTAAAGGGGGGTTATTTTTTTCCAGTTAACAATTAATTGATCTCTAAATTACTAGACGATACGTTCAATAATCAATTAATTACGATTAATCTGATTATTGTTTTTTTTAGGTTTTGCATTAGCATTGCATTAGCATTGAGCTTTTTTGTCTGTTTCGTTGTTTACATTAATCATTTGTTGGAAATAAGCGTAACAACCTGTTAACTCTTTACAGACATCATAGCTGCGGCTAAATCTGATTTAAAAGTGAAGTATTTTTTCATTATTTAGACTTGGTTTGTGCAGAGCGCTGTATGGGTCCGCTCTGCTAGCTTTGGTTGCCAACCTCAGGCCATTTACTGCATGTCTATCCCTTTTCTTTCCAAAACCACAATTAAAAAGCTCATCAGCGCCTCTAAACTTTTAAAAACAGATT